TTAAAAAAAAAAAAAAAAAAATGGCAGGGCGCTGTGGCTCATGCCTGTAATCCCAGCACTTTGGGAGGCTGAGGTGGGTGGATCACCTGAAGTCAGGAGTTCAAGACCAGCCTGGCCATCATGGTGAGACCCCACCTTATTCCTAAAAAAAAAAAAAAAAATACAGAAAACCTTTACAATATGAGTATCTGTGATCTCAGTGCAGGGAGGGATTATTTCTTAAATGATATACCAAAAAAAAAAAGCACAAATCATAAAAGATAAAGTTGGTAAGTCTGATAACACTAAAACTAGAATCATCTGTGTAAGAGACGACTTCATAAAGTTAAAAAAGAAGCCAAAAAATGGGGAAAAGGTTACTATAGATTTGGAACATATAAAAACAAAGCAAACAAAGTGGGTAATTGATAGAAACAAGTAATAGAAAAGAAAACCTAGAGAGCTTATTAGACACATGAACAAGATGCCCAGCATCACTAGTAATCAGGGGAATGCAAATTAGAATAACAAGATGCCATTTCACACATGTTGCACCTGTTAGATTGGGCAAAAATGTAAAAATCTGATACAACCAAGTGTGTAAATGATGAATATATGGGAAATAAAGCTCTTAGGTTCTCAAAGTTTTTTTTTTTTTTTTTTTTTTGAGATGGAGTCTCACTGTGTCCCCCAGGCTGGAGTGCAGAATTGCGATCTCGGCTCACTACAGCCTCCGCCTTCTGGGTTCAAGCAGTTCTCTGCCTCAGTCTCCCAAATACCTGGGATTACAGGCATCCGCCACCACACCCAGCTAATTTTTGTATTTTTAGCAAAGATGGGATTTCACCATGTCGGCCAGGCTGGTCTTGAACTCCTGACTTTGTGATCCTCCCGCCTCATCCTCCCAAAGTGCTGGGATTACAGCTTCGAGCCACCATGCCCAGCCTTGTTTGTTTTGTTTTTAAGAGACAGGGTCTCAATGTGTTGCACAGGCTGGAGTGTAATGGCACAATCATAGCTTACTGCAGCTTTGAACTTCTGGGCATAAGTGATTCTTCTGCTTTGGCTTCCCCAAAGTAGCAAGAACACATCACTACATCCAGCTAATTTTTACTTTTTTTGTAGAGATGAGGGTCTTGCTATGTTGCCCAAGCTGGTCTTGAACTCCTGGCCTCTAGTGATCCTCCTGCCTCAGCCTCCTGAAGTGTGGGATTACAGATGTGAGCCACTGTGCTCCACAAATTCTTATGTTGTTTTTTGTTTTTGTTTTTTGAAACAGTCTTGCTCTGTCGCCAGGCTGGAGTGCAGTGGTGCGATCTCAGCTCACTGCAACCACTGCCTCCCGGGTTCAAGGGAGTTTCACCATGTTGGCAGGATGGTTTTGATCTCTTGACCTCATGATTCGTTCACCCTGGCCTCCCAAAGTGCTAGGATTACAGGCGTGAGCCACCACACCCGGCCAAATTCTTACATTTTTACAACTCACTTTGGAGAGGCATTAAATAAAGCTGGATTGGCTAGAGAATGACAACTGCAGAAGTTGAACTTGTAGCTGGGATTACAGCCACCTGCCACCACGCCTGGCTAATTTTTTGTATTTTTAGTAGAGATGGGGTTTCGCCACGTTGGCTAGGCTGGTCTGAAACTCCTAGCCTCAGGTGATCCGCCCACCTCAGAGGTGTGAGCCACAGTTCCCAGCGGCAGCACTTTTTTAATAGGGGGAAAAAACAACGATGGGACAACTACCTGCCCCTCAGGAGGGAATAAACTGTGGGTTACAGTTTATTTTATTTATTTATTTTTTTGAGACAGAGTCTCGCTCTATCGCCAGGCGCCAGGCTGGAGTGCAGTGGCTCGATCACAGCTCACTGCAACCTCCGCCTCCCGGGTCCAAGCAATTCTCCTGCCTCAGAGTCCCAAGTAGCTGGGACTACAGGCCCACGCCACCACGCCCAGCTAATTTTTGTATTTTTAGTAGAGACGGGGTTTCACCATGTTGGTCAGGATGGTCTCCATCTCTTGACCTTGGGATCCGCACGCCTTGGCCTCCCAAAGTGCTGGGATTACAGGCGTGAGCCACCGCCTCCGGCTGGTTACAATTTATTTTACACAATGGAATTCATAAGCAGTTCAGATGAATAAATATAGGTATTCAAAGATAATTCTCAAAATCCATGTTGAGGCTAGACACCGTGGTGTCTACCTGGGAGGCTGAGGCAGGAGGATAGCCGGAGCCCAGGAGGTCGAGTCCAATCCGGGCAGCATAAGCAGTCTTCTATGGACAGCAAAAGGACTATATCCCGCACAATGCCCTGCAAATACGCATTCTCTCTATGTATCTACCTACCTACCTACCTATCTAGTCTGATATATTTATATTCTGATAAGTTCCTAATTATTAGATTAATATATATACTTGGCCGGGCGCGGTGGCTCAAGCCTGTAATCCCAGCACTTTGGGAGGCCGAGGCGGGTGGATCACGAGGTCAAGAGATCGAGACCACCCTGGTCAACATGGTGAAACCCCGTCTCTACTAAAAATGCAAAAAGCATTAGCTGGGCATGGTGGCGCGTGCCTGTAATCCCAGCTACTCAGGAGGCTGAGGCAGGAGAATTGCCTGAACCCAGGAGGCGGCGGTGGCGGTGAGCCGAGATCGCGCCATTGCACTCCAGCCTGGGTAGAAAAAGGAAAAAACCGCCGTCAAAAAAAAAAAAAAAAAAAAAATATATATATATATATATATATATACTTAAGTTCCTAAGTAATTAGACTAATACATATATTCTAGTAATATGTAGTGATATTATATTCTAATATTAGACTAATACATATATTCCAGGATATAGATATATTAGACATCTATATTCTGATATAGTGTATATCAGAGCAACTATTTCATACTTTTATATATGCAATATATATGTAATGTACATATTCGTCTAAGGAATTTGTGTAGGCTAAGGGGTGCTTGCTGAATATGAGAGCAGGCCAGACAGGAACAAGATCGGATGCGAGTGGGTGGGGGGTGGAAAGGTCGAAGAATTTGGGAGCCAAATCTTGAGAGTTGGCGGGATAGGAGTGGTCTGGGAGAGGTCTGGAGGTTGCTGGGGCCGGAAGAGGTTACAATTCGACTGGGAAAAGAGTTGTCAGCACCGTACCTTTCTCATTGCGAACCGGGACGGCCCCAGCCGTAGACTGAATGGGCGGTTGCTTCATGAGAGCGCTTGGGACCGACATGTTGATGGCAGCGACGGTGATTCCCGAAACTTGACTAATTCCAAACAGTGAACACCAACAACGTCAACGAAGAGAAAATATCCCTTCCTCCTAGGTCCACGAACACAGCTGCTCGACTGATAGAGAAACCACTTACGGCTAAGCTAGATAAACCGGAAATACGTAACGAGGGGATTGTGGGATGGTGGAGGACGTTTGAGCGCCCACAACGAGGAAGTTGCGTCTGTTTCTTTGCCTGCTCTTCGGCTGCCCTCGGAAATTGGAAACCGCTTTTGGCGGGAAATTTTGCTTCTTTTGGGCTTTGCTGTTAGGACCCGTGGACCCTGCGGTGAGGAAGGTTCTAATGAAAGGTTCCACGTGTTAGGTTGGTTAGAAGCCAAGAACAGTATAGTGAATAAGAAACTGAGACGCCAGTGAGTTGCTGTTTGGCTTGTTGAAAGCTCAGAAAAAGTAGTTAGATGGAGTAAAAATCTTGGTAATGGCATCTGATTAGGTCAGTTGATGAGGCCATTGTGAGCTGTAATGCAGTATTTGGTATCACACAGGACAGGTGGTGCTGATTTAGACCAGTGACAAAAAAAAAAAAAGAAAAAAGAAAAATCCCCCAAGGTGCTTGAGACATTGCCTGCCCGAAATCTCCAAACTCCACTTCTAGGCTTTCAGGTTCTTCCACTGGTAGTTGGAAACTACCTGTTAAAATAAATTCCTGGCTGGAAAGTGTTTGTATTTAAGTTACTAGGTAATTATTATTTTGAGACAGGGTCTTGCTCTGTCACCCAGGCTGGAGTGCAGTGGCGCGATCTCGGCTTACAGCAGTCTCCTCCTGGGTTCAAGTAATTCTTGCGTCTCAGCCCTCTGAGTAGCTGTGATTACAAGCACCCGCCACCACCCCCTGCTGATTTTTGTATTTTTAGTAGAGGCGGTTTTACCGTGTTGGCCGGGTTCAAGGGATCCACCCACTCTGGCCTCCCACAGCCCGGTAAGTTTTGTATTTTTAGTAGAGGCGAGGTTTCGCCATGTTGCTCAGGCTGGTTTTGAACTCCTGACCTCAGATGATCCACCCGCCTTGGCCTCCCAAAGTGCTGGGATTACAGATGTGAACCACCGCGGCTGGCCTATTTAAGAACTCTTTAAGGACTGGTAGAATAATAACAGAAGCAGCCCCAATTTACAAGCTGGGTTGTGTTAAAAAAAAAAAAAATTGGAAAGTCAGGGCATATTTCACAGTAGGAAGGACTTTACCATTGTGGGGGATACAACGGACAGCAGAAACAGTCTTGCAGTCCAGAAACTGTGCATTAAACAGGACACCATGAAAAGTTTGGTTTTATCAGTAATTATTGAGTCATAGAGGGCCTTGAAGTTGCTGTTAATATTATTTACCCAAATTACTTCAACTGTATTCTACAGTTGGGCCTTGGGTGGGAGAAGAAATGAAACTGGACAAGTCTCAGGCAAGTAACAGTGTGGGACCCAGTTAAGCAACTAAGGAAACAGCTTTGGGCTAGAAGGAACCTTAAATAGAAGAATAGCCAAAATCTTACTTTATTTTTATTTATAAAAGAGACAGGGTTTTGCTCTGTCGCCCAGGCTGGAGTGCCGCAGGATGGTGCCTCACTGTGGCCTCATCCTTCTAGGTTCAAACCATTTTCCCACCCCTGCCTTCCGAGTATCTGGGACTACAGACGCACAGCACCACGCAGGACTAATTTTTCTATTTTTTGTAGACATAGGGTCTCACTATGTTGCCTAGGCTGGTTTCGAAGTCCTGGGCTCAAGCGATCCGCTCCTCTCGGCCTCTCAAAGTGTTGGGATTACAGGCGTGAGCCACCGCGCCCGGCCTGCCAGTGTTTTTCAGAGCGGCATCCCCGTACCACCAGAATCAGAATCACCAGTCAAAGGTAAAAATGTCAATTCAGACCAAGTACATCCCCTGAAGAATTTTCAGCCTAGGGCTTTAAGATGGCTTTCTTAAGAGGCGCGCGTAACCCAGTCTTCCTGCTCTGGCGCTGCGACCGCGGGGGCGCGAGTGGGCTCCGCCGCGTCCCGGCCCCGCCCCATCCTGCCCTACAACTCCCGGCCTCGCTCCACCCCTCCCGGCCTCCTGCCGCAATCTTGGCGGGAAGGCGCCGGACTCTTAAGAAGCCGAAAGATGTCGGGGTCGGGCGCGGCGGCTGAGAAGGCGGACCCCAGACAGCGACCCCAGATGAAGGTGAGAAACGGGTTGGTGCTTCCGGGTGTGCTTCTGCCTCGGTTTCTGTGGGGTTCTGCGGGATACAGGCCTGGGAGGTCGAGAGCACCTGGCATTGAGGGTAGGCGGGGATCCCTGCCCTGAGGCCTTTAGCGTTGTCGAAAAGTTTTAATCAGTAACCCTAGAAATAGTGGGAGGGTCAGAGCTGGGATTCGCTTTCTTCAGCCCTCTACGTTTGCTTTTGCCACACTTACGGTCAGCTTCACACTCTAAATCATTCCATCCGCCCCTGGCAGTTGGGGTAGTTGCCTCTGTCATAAACGCTAGTCATTATTATTATTGGTCTGGCAAACTCTTAGGGGCAAGAAATGTGCCAAGTAAATGAATTCTATTGAGGTTAAGGTTAATGAATTACATATCTAGATTTTGGAAGGGAGAAAAAGTTTTCTTACAGGCTATCAATTTGGATTTATTTATTTATTTGAGACATAGTCTCGCTCTGTTGCCCAGGCTGGTGTGGAGCGGCGCAATCTCGGCCCATTGCAACCTTCGCCTCCTGGAGTTCAAGCAATCCTCCTGCCTCAGCCTCCCAAGTAGCTAGGATTACAGGCACGCGCCACCACACTCAGCTTATTTTTCTATTTTTAGTAGAAACGGGGTTTCATCCTGTTGGCCAGGCTGGTCTTGAGCTCCTGACCTCAGGTGATCCACCTTCCTTGGCCTCCCAAAGTGCTCGGATTGCAGGTGTGAGCCACCTCACCTGGCCTCAATTTGGATTTATATTGTCATTGTGAAATGGGAATTATTAGATCTGTTGGGCATCCTGTAAGGAAAGGCACAGGACTTGGAATTCTTATATTCTCTTTTCTTTTATTGATCTGAATAGGTAAATGAATATAAAGAAAATCAAAACATCGCTTATGTGTCTCTGAAACCAGTACAGACTACAGTTTCAATAAAAACAGCTACAGTCTATCTTACCCCCTTTTCCCTCAGTAATTATCAGCTAGACCAGCTTATGTGCCCCAAATCCCTATTAGAAAAGAATTCTAACAATGAAGTGGCCTGTAAGAAGACTAAAATAAAGAAAACTTGCAGGAGGATTATACCTCCAAAGATGAAAACCACATCTTCCAAGGCAGAATCCACACTGCAAAATCCATCCTCAGCTGTTCATACTGAAAGTAACAAGCTACAACACGAGAGAACGACAGATGCGATGAATCTCGGTGTTGATATGGAAAGTAGTCAGGATGGAGACAGTGATGAAGATACCACACCAGGCCTGGTAAGAACTTAATTAGTAGCTTGTTCTAGTTTCTCTTACAGTTTGGAAATTTGACATTCTGATAAAGCAAAGTTTATCAAGGATCTCTCTAATACAAACAAATTATTTCATCATTAATGTAAGTATAAATGTAACAATAAATTTCTATAATTTTTAAGGTTTAACAAATAACTTCCTTGGATTAATTTTGCTCTTGCTGTTGTGTCAATGAGAGGATTGACTTAATCTTTACTCCGTTTCCCTTTTTCTCCCTCCAAACTTACTGCATTTATTTTTGGGCTTACTCATATGGTGCCTTGCTCAACTTTACATGTTTATGTACAATATATCAGAAGTCATCAGTTTGTGGGACATAAGGTATTGACTGACCCTTGATATCAGGGTAGGGAAACATTAATTGATTATATTGATTTGTTGAATATATTTCCTTTAAATGCAAAAGCAGACAAATGACAGAATAGAGAAGATACATGAGAAACACATTAGTTCTATATAATTCCAATCAATTTAAGGAATTTGGTTTGTAATTTTTTTTTTTTTTTTTTTTGAGACGGAGTTTCGCTCTTGTTACCCAGGCTGGAGTGCAATGGCGCGATCTCGGCTCACCGCAACCTCCGCCTCCTGGGTTCAGGCAATTCTCCTGCCTCAGCCTCCTGAGTAGCTGGGATTACAGGCCCGCGCCACCATGCCCAGCTAATTTTTTGTAGTTTTAGTAGAGACGGGGTTTCACCATGTTGACCAGGATGGTCTTGATCTCTTGACCTCATGATCCACCCGCCTCGGCCTCCCAAAGTGCTGGGATTACAGGCTTGAGCCACCGCGCCCGGCCTGTAATTCTTTTAGCTTCTGCTGCCTACCAGGAGGGCTTTGCTCCATTCAAAGTGACAAACTTTACACAGGACAAGATAAAACCATACATAGTACATAACACAATGTTACTGGAACTCAGGGAACAGAAAATGATAGTAGGGAAACGGAGATACTATAATTGAAGGGCATTGTTATGAAATAGAAATTTGGTTTATGATCTCTCATCCCAGAGTTAAGAACCAGGACCGATAGTGGAACAGCATGGGGCAAGTGTGAAATGAATTGGACTTGGGATTGAGAGTCTAGCACAGCCACTTCTAAGAAACCTTTTTCCTATGGCCTGGCACGGTGGCTCAAGCCTGTAATCCCAGCACTTTGGGAGGCCGAGGCGGGTGGATCACGAGGTCAAGAGATCAAGACCATCCTGGTCAACATGGTGAAACCCCGTCTCTACTAAAAAATACAAAAAATCAGCTGGGCATGGTGGCGCTTGCCTGTAATCCCATCTACTCAGGAGGCTGAGGCAGGAGAATTGCCTGAACCCAGGAGGCGGAGGTTGTGGTGAGCCGAGATCGCACCATTGCACTCCAGCCTGGGTAACAAGAGCGAAACTCTCAAAAAAAAAAAAAAAAAAAAAAAAA